TTGTTTAATTATATTTTATTTTCTGATTTACTTTATTCTTTATTTTTTGTTCTTATCATTTATTATGTATACTTTTCTTTCAATTTTTTTTTATAGAATTTTGTTATTTAATTTGGTCATATATATACCTCAGTGTGTGTGTGTGTGTGTGTGTGTGTGTGTGTGTGTGTAATTTAAAAAAGTTATGTTTGTTTATTTTCTGTAACTTGGCTCCAGTAACCATCATCTAACACCATCATCTAACACCATCATCTAACACCATACTCTTACCTCAGCACGAAAGATTCTACACAACTACAGCTTCCTGGAATAAAAATATTCCACCCATCATACAGTAGGAAGGCAGGAAGGAAGTCATTTGTATTGTGCTGTTGTGGTTATTGTTGTTGTCGAAATTAACTTATTGTGGATAGTGTCTTTAGTGGCAGTTGTAGGCTGATGGAAATGTGATGCATTTCTGTGTTGATTAGCCCTGAGTCGCGCCCCTACGTATGTGCCTTTTTTTTTGAGTCGCGCCCTTACGTATGTGTCCTGAGTCGCGCCCCTACACATGTGTGGTGTGTCGGCGTGGCTGGGCGCAGGTGTGATGGTATGGTGGGCGGCGGTATATGTGTGACGGCTGGGCGGCTCCAACGGGACTGGCCGCCCAACTCCCGGCTGTTAGAGAGAGAGAGATAGAGAAGGCGCGTGCCACCCAGTGCCGCCTGAACCACCAGTGCCAGTCTCTGCGGGCCACCACGCGCTCCACGCCCCCTACACACGCGATCGCCACGCCGTGTAACTGGACTCCTCCACGCCGTGTACGCAACTTTTCCACGCCCTGAACTTGACCCTCTTCACGCCGTGTTAACTCGATTCCTCTACGCCGTGTACGCGACTTTTCCCCTCTTTACTCAACTCTTCCACTCAGTGTACACGCCTCCTCTATGTCTTGTACTCTGCACGCCATGTAACACACCAGGTGGATGTAAATAATGACAGGTACTTCAAAAACCTAACTAAACCATCAACAATGTAAGACTCAACATTGTCTCACACTGGAAAACTAACATCACAGTCCGTCTTCTACAGCCCGTGTGACACCTGGCCCACTAGACGTTCACCAGAGCAACGTCTAATATCTCCATCTGTTTAACGAGGGAAATAATTTAGACTTTATGAGGTATCACCGAGTCTTATTGATGTGATTCTTGGCGTGCGTGTGTCTCTTACTCTTGACAGACGACTGGGTGTGGGAAAAGTACAAGTATCTGTCTCAGAGTACTTTTTATCCGCTTTATAAGTGTACTTAATGTTAGTTCTTACTTATATACTCAGCAAGAACCTAGAGCTTTGGCTGTTGGTTTTAGCTTCGAGGGAAAACTGTAATATGTAGACATTTATATGGATGACAAACCTGTTGTGTTCACTGTGTGAAGGAGGTGTTGACCTTTGACTCGCTATAGTGATGGTAGGGTTAACTTTCACTAATGATGGTGACCTTGCAGTGACCCGCGCTAATGGTGATGGCTGGTTTAGCTCTAATAATGATAAACTTTGGCACACGCTAGAGATGATGGCGATCGAATGACCTCTGACCTCAAAACGACACTACAGGACCATATTTAAAGTCAGTTTTTGATTGGCCAATACGCAGTTGATCCCCGTGACGGTAGTTTTGGTAACGCACTTCACACGTGGCTTGACCGTCAACCAGAGTCTCGTTCCTGGTGTCTTGAGGAGGAGAAAATTATGAGTTTATGAACGTGGTTTTGAACAACTTTGCCACGCGATTTAGTTACGATGGTATATCAACAACAACTAATGGTGGAGGTGTGATGTAAGAGTGAGGGCTACCCGTTGGTGCAGTGTTGGTGTGGTCAGTCAGCTGGCGACACTCATCAGTAGTGGAGGGAAGGGCGTCTCTCTCTCTCAGATCAAGGGTACTGAGAGTGGGACAACCCCGCGTCTCCACATCCTCCCAGCTGCCGTACCATAGGCTAGCTCCTCCTATCAACAGTATCTGTCAGCGTTATTAGGAAAGTTTGTGCTGAGCTTGTTGATTCAGTCTTGAGTTTGTGATTCACAGCCACTGACTTACAAGGAAAACTATAAACATCTAAGATAAGTAAGAATATTGATGATGTGATTATTGAAGTGTGTTGTTCTAACTCTGGACACAGAGGCAGTACTGTCTCCATCTATGTGCGACAGTGTCAAGGGCGACAGTGTCAAGTGGTAGTAAGTAGTAGACAAGTTAGAAAGTAGTGTCACATAACTAGTTGAAGGACGCCTGTCTCCCCTCTCACAAGAAACCATTTTAACCCGCAGGACAGCACGCGAGGCACAGATAAAAATCTACAGTGTGGAGTGCGGCAACCTCAGTTTCAAGTGCGAGAGTCATAAGTGCGACAGCGTTCAGCGTGAAAGGATTCAGTACAAGACAGTAGTATCTGTGTCGCAGGACAGGTGACGGGAAAAACCCGTGTCCTTGTCGCCTTATCTACCCGGCGCCACACAGGTAGGTACTGACCCTTGACGCCCAGGTGAGGGGAAACACCACTAAATTACTGTAGTTTTTATTTAGCTGATGATACTTGGCTAAGAAGCCCCACCCCCTGTAGATCATTGGCTCATATATAATGTTCGATTAATAATGATACATTTTAAATAACACCGACTATAGGAACTGTACCTCACTCACCGCGGGAGACTGACCAAGACGTGTACTAAGTAGAGCAACACTGCCTACTTCTGAGTACTTAAGACAATATTAACACTACTACTACTACTACTACTACTACTACTACTACTACTACTACGTGGCCTCCAGCCTCCCCCAATAGCCACACCTTCGCCACCATTTATTTACCTTAATATTAAATATCCTAATACATAAGAAACTATCCTATCTGTGTTAAATTAATTGAGCCGCAGATCCATGCGGCATTCAGTGACTGTAGCCTCATAGTCGATATCTGCAGCAGTTGTCGGATTAGGGGCAGAAGCTCTCGTTCCCCTGAGGCAGAGCAAAGCCGACCGAAGGAGAGAGAAGGACAGTCGACATCTCATCCAGGCTGTGACATAACTTCTGGGCTGCTGCTTCTGCTCGGAGATCACCTCCGCGAGTCTGGCGTAGAAACATCTTGCACTTGGGCCCATCCCACCAGAGGTTGTGAACACTAGAGGAGTGAAGCTGCCTTGATCAACATTTTGAATTCTCTCCCCATATGCCCTTCTACTACTACTACTACTACTACTACTACTACTACTAATAATAATAATAATAATAATAATAATAATAATAATAATAATAATAATAATAATAATAATAATAATATATAATAAATTAAAATCCACGTTTACCTGGGCAGTCACTACACTATACACAGGTAACATTATATAGTTCAACCTGTGTCCATATACAGTACACTAATGTTTTCATCTAGTCTGGGTGTAGGTTAAGGGTGTGTTGGTGCTAGCTGGTTGTAGTGGCGCCTGGTTGTGTCGTAAGGGAAGTTGATAAAAGATGCGTCATCATATCACTTATCCTCAGAAAATATCAACATCCGGTTCACAATAAAGACGTTACTTGTACTATAAATCATTGCTACGGTGACTCTAACACACACACACACACACACACACACACACACGAAGAAGCAGTAGCTCTTCCGTCACTGTGATATGAGTTAATTAAAAAAAATTGTTTTCTTAGTATCATTGGAGGATGTGAACCACCCCCCTCCCCCCCCTCCCCGGGACACTAACATTTTTCTTCTATTGTTAGCAGCTGACACACACACACACACACCCGCTGATAAATGTCTTGGCTCTCCTTACAACATCACACTGCTTACTAAACCTATCTCGATTAACCCGTTCGTTTAGTCAGCTTAGATTAAACCTTCATCACTGAGAGGGCTAAACATCCAACACTCTACGTCCCTGTCACCAAAAAGTCTCCGTTACAACACCTCTAAATAAGTTAACCAATTTGTCCTACTACGTGTCAGGGATCCCGTCGCAGGGTGGGAAATGTCCCAGTCCAACGTCGCTCTACGGGGGGACTCTGATCCTTCTGTGGGGGGCGCAGTAGTGTGGTGGTGGTGTGTGACGGCGGGCATCATGCAGGACAACTCTTGACAAAGTTGACGGGCTTCTCAGTTGTCTTGTGGAAGGTGTAGTGAGTGGTGTGCCGTGTGGTGTAGTGTGTAGTGTGTGGTGTAGTGTGTAGTGTAGTGTACTGGTGGTGGAATATAACGTGTAAAACAATGTAGTGTATGATTGTCGTTGTTGGACGGCAAGAACAAGTATTACTTCTCTTCTATAGTTAAGGTTAATATTATCTTTAAACCCGTACTTGAAGGTATAGATGATAACACGATATAAACAACTGAAAACTTACGATTAAATTGAGTTATGTCTTACGAGTGTAGGAGCGACTATAACATGGTCACTCTGGATGGAGATGTGAATCCAGCCTTTCCAGTTTTCCAGTTCTTTATATACCAGTAGAAGGAAGTGTGTCGGGCTGGTGGGTATACTCTGATGGCGTGGTGGGTGTGGTGGGGGGTGGTGGCTGTACGGTGTATAATCAGATATATGTAATTGTGAAAGACATCTTGATATTCCGAGTGTTTGTCCAGTCGTCACTCAATATACACAATGTTATCAGAATCACCATACAAGAGCTTCAGGACTATCATGAGGTGAGTTCAACCCGTCTCTATCTTTAGCATTGGGTACTCTCTCTCTCTCTCTCTCTCTCTCTCTCTCTCTCTCTCTCCATATGTTTGTCTGTCTCACTACATTATCAGCTTGAGAGTGTCGGTCGGGACATCCTCTCACCGCCCTCTTATCTACCCTCCCCCCACATGGAGATAGGGGGCGGGGGGGGGGGGAGGATATAATGTAATAATGAAATAAAGAGAATATATATTTTTTGATAAATAAATTAAAAGGAGTAGTAATGGTATTAATGATACAAAAATACTACTACTACTACATCAACTATCAAGCAAAAACGTGACCTCCATCCTCCTCCAATAGCCACACCTTCGCCAGTAGCTACCCTGGCTGTGTTGAGTTAGTTGAGCCGCAGATCTATGCGGCATTCAGTGACTGTTGCCTCATAGTCAATATCTGCGACTATTGTCGTCTTTGGGGCCAATGCTCTAGGTGACGTTGACATGCGGCCATGGGATCGAAAATCCGTATGTCAAAGAAGTCTCGCTGTCCCCGTGTCCAGAATCTTAAAGCACTGACGTCCACACGGGCTTCGTTGGGTGCGTGTGTTTGAAGTCCTATGACGGAGGTTCTTGCCGTCCAATGGCAGGGTGGGTGGTTCCACCATGACGTCGTGGCAGATTTCCTTCAGAAATTTGCTGTGAGATCCCTTACTTCGTCATGCCTCATGCATACGAAGCCCCCTTTCTTGCACACTATGGCGTGGTCGATATCATAAGATGAACCACACACGCATTGGGAGGACAAACCTTCCACTGGCCTACCGTACCTTAGAGCAATGGCATCTGTGAATTCTTGTTTATTAAGGATGAAGACTTTTGCCCTTATCGGTAACACTGTTAACCAGTTTGAGGCGCCCACCTCCTGCACTATAGCTACTTTTCTTTTCACGTTCTCTGGCACTTGTTGCAACAGTTGTTGTAGTTTATCACTTTGGGTGTGCTGCCGCTCTGTCGTAATGGACCGTCGAGTCTTGTTTAATTCGTTAGTATCCACCTGACTTGCTGCATTCTGATCTATTGTGTGCCCAGTGAGAGCTGCCGTGAGCTTGACAGAGTTCTGATGTTCTGTAAAGGCTACTACTACTAATACTACTACTACTACTACTACTACTACTACTACTACTACTACTACTACTACTACTACTACTACTACTACTACTTAAAAAATTGGCCTCCATCCTCCTCTTATAGCCACACCCTCGCCGCCATTTTCTTACCTTAAAATTAAATCTCCTAATACATAAGTAGCTATCCTGGCTGTGTTGAGTTTGTTGAGATGTAGAGGTGAGGTAAGGTAGGAAAAAGTAGGGTAGTAAGGGCTTAGGTAAGGAGAGAGGGGAGGTAGGGGAAGAGATGGAGCGGTGAGGTAAGGTAGGAGAAGGCGGGGTCGTAAGGAGTGGTAGGTAGGGGGGGGAGGACTGGTACACTATACTGTATATTGTCATCTGGTTGTAAGGACCTGACTGGTTGACACAGTACAATGGGCTTTCAAACTCATTCTCCGTCGTTTAAGAGGTAATATTGTCTTCTTAAATCCATACTCCCTTCCCAACTACGACCCACCACAGTTCAGATGTCCGTAAACAGTGTCCCTAACTTGAGAAATATCCGTAGTTGGTGTCCTAACGTGAGAAATATCCGTAAGTTGGTGTCCTAATAAGAGAAATATCTTTAAGTTGGTTTCTTAACGTGAGAAATATCCGTAGTTTGTGTCAAAGCGTGAGAAATATCCGTAGTTGGTGTCCTAACATGAGAAATATCCGTAAGTTGGTGTCCTAAACCTTGATGTCCCAACCCGTAAGTATAGTTATCTACCGTCAGCAACACAACCTGGAATAAAAAAAGGAAAACTGGGACACTAAAATCTGAAGCAGACTTAATTTACAACTACGTACAGTTGCGCAATCTAAGAAAAAATATGAGCGGATGCGTTATCTGAGACCAAAATGTGAACGGCTGCGTAATGAGGAGCAAATCTGAGCGGTTGCGTTATTCTGAGACAAAATTCCGAGGAGTTACCGCACGTAAAATAAATTCCACTTATCTGAGACGTATCCTTAAGACAAGTCCAAAGTCCAATTTTTATAGAGTTTAAAGAAAAATTCCATTGGTAAAATAGGACTTAGCTAAAAGTCCTTTGGTTTTACATAGGACTAACGTATAAACTAATGAAGATAACCAAAGGCGTTATTATAGTACAGGAGAAGGTCATAGATAGGCGTTGACTCTAGCTCAGTAATGTACGATAGGGATTAATAGGTTCCAGGAATAGGTAATAGTTTGATTCAATAAGCTAAAAAAACTGCATTGGAAATGACAACGACACCACCGCCTGATCCTTGACACACATCAACAAACACTGCACTGTCGCCTCATCACTGGACGTAAAATCCACCATCCAATATATACAATCATAACATTTTCATGAATAGCTTCGTTTTGCGAGAATTGCTTGATGATTTTTCCCGGGAAAGAGCTAAAAAAATATTATACTTGCGCGGGAGAATTTGTGCATTGTTGACAAGTGACCCCGTAGCGAGCTTAACAGCGTCAGCAGCAGCGAGGGCGGCGGGATATACAGCGATAAACAAAGCGGACAAAATCGCACTCCCAGCGATTAATTATTGCAGCGAGTGATTTGTTGAGATTTTAAGTTTATTTTTACTTTAGTCAGCGAGCGTCGTTTGCCGCTGTTATGATATTTCAGCATTTATGAGCTGGGCCCTTAACTGGGGATAAGAGAACGTGTTTACTTACCTGACGCCCAAAG